GAAGCATTACAGGCGTCATTTTAAAACGAATAACAGTCATAATTTCCGATGATTTTATAAGAGTCGACTCAAAGATTATGGAAATACTCAAGATGTACACAGCAGTTAGATATAATCAAAATATTTTGTAAATATCTTATCTTTTTTCAAAAGCTGAACTTGTTTTTTAGTGTTTTATACAAATTTTTCCCACTCATAGACGCATTAGGTTGTCTATAATAGAATGTGTTTATTATTCAACAAGAGTCATCATCACCACAACAACAAACTAAATTATAAAACATATGTTAAATGCAAAGGCATATGAATGACACTACATCTCCCCTTCCTCATTATATTTACTCATATCTTATTGGTGGTATGATAGTTCTGCTCGATCTTCTTATTCCATCATTGTGGTTTGGCTGCACCCTCCTTCCACGGTAGACATCGTCAGAATCATCATTCTCTTTTCTTGGTAGGGGAATGAGATGCCATCTGTTTCTTCTTACATCATTCCCATTACTCAATGATACTATGTAGGATCGAGGTAGATTGGTTGTTGTTCTTATGGTTCCTTTCGCACTTATATCTTTAACCCAGACTCTCTCTCCTACTGCTAAAGGTGGAAGTTCTTTGACGCCTCTTCTGTTGTCAAAGTTTTTCTTGACTCTGTTTCTGTTAATGTCCTCGATGCAAATGCTAATGGACGCCAATCCTTTCCATCAAACTGCTCGATCACTGCCCCTAAACCATAAGATGACGAATCTGCCATTACACGGGTTTTCGCTTCTCTGTTGTAGTTGGCCAATACAGTATCATTAGCTACAACCTTCTTCAATTCCTTAAAAGCTTGTTCTTGAGACTCATCCCAAGTCCATTCAACTCCTTTTTTAAGGAGACTTCTGATTGGTGCTGTTTTTTCAGCTAGATGAGAAACGAACTTCATTAATTGGTTTATCATTCCCAAAAACTGTCGAACCTCCGTTATACTCTGGGGGCTTTTCATGGCCAGAATAGCTTTAGTCTTCTCTGGGTCAATACTGACTCCCTGCGATGAGACAACGTGTCCGAGGAAAATCACACTTTCTACTCCAAACTTACATTTGTTTTTGTTTAACGTGATACCATTTTCTGAGAGTCTCTTTAGTACCAGTTTGACTCTGCTGTCATGTTCTGTTTCTGTCTTCCCCATTATCAAGATATCATCCGCTTGATTCACTACGCCTGGGATATCTGAAAGCATTTGACTCAGTCGGAATTGGAAAACCTCCGGTCCAGAACAGATTCCAAACGGAAGTCTCTTGAAGAAATATCGCCCGAATGGTGTAATGAACGTGGTGAGTTTAAATGAATCACTGTGAAGTGGAACCTGCCAGAATCCATTGGCAGCATCCAACTTAGTGAAAAGCTTACCTCCTTCAAACTTAGCTAGAGACTCATCCACTGATGGAAGCTGCAACGATTCTCTTTTTACATGTTGGTTCAATTTTGTGTAATCAACACAGAGTCTAATTCTGCCATCACTCCTTGGAACCACTACTACGGGAGAACACCAGTCAGTAGGTTCATTTACTGGTTCTATTACACCATCAGCAAGCATCCTGTCCAATTCATATTTAACCTGTTTGTGGAGTGAGAAAGCCACCCTCCTCGGTGACATAATAGCATAAGGTTTTGCATCTTCGTGCAGCCTAATCTTGTATGGATGATTCATTCTACCCATGCCCTCAAACACTTTTGGATATTGATTCTGGAGTGATTCACCAACACATTAATAACAAGATTAACGTTAAACGTAAGTAACTCCAGTTTCAACAATGAATTTCTACTCATTAGAGGTATACTTTGGGACGGCAAGACATATATGTCTTCTAATATTTGCTTATTGCCATACATAATTTCAGCTGAACAGACACCCACAACAGTCAATTTAGTCTGGCCCGGCCCAAAAAGAACTTTATGGGTTGGACGGATTACAAGTTTGAGGTCAAGTGCAAGTGTACTTCCCATAACAGAAACGTCTGCCCCAGAGTCCATCTTAAACTCTACTGGTTGACTATTTACCTTTACCACTACACTCGGACATTTACCCTGCTTAAAGTTTACTTCACCTAAATGTCCTTTTTTTGAATCAATCGAATCGTCTGAGTCAACTTCCTTAATCTCTTTTACCTCCTTTGGTTTGTTTGGACAACATTTTGCAAAGTGACCACGAAATTTGCACTTGGAACACTTTTCTCCAAAAGCAGGACATTCCCGAGGGCCATGAGTTGTTCCACAGCGACGACAGGAAAATGTTTTAGTAGTTTGAGCCACACGTTTATTATTATCAAAAGGTTTTGAACTTACCCCAAATACATCTTCCCTGGATGGTTTATCTCTAATTACAGCTTGCTGTTTAGACATTGCTTCTGCTTGACGTACTCTCGTGATTGCCTTATGAAGGGTCAATGACTCGTCTAATTGTAGAGACTCTGATAAGTTTTGGTTATGAACACCAATAACAATTAAGTCTCGTACCAAACTGTCCTTGAGCTGTCCAAACTCGCAACATTCCGCGAGTTTGTGCAAGTCATTGACAAAAGCATCCACCGGTTCACCTGCACTTTGCCTACGTTTTAGAAATTTAGCTCTTTCGTAGACCAAATTTCTTTTAAGGCCTAAGTACCTCGCAAAGGCATTTACTACATCCTCATAACTTAACTCTTTTTCTTCACCTAGTCCAAATGTTTCAAAAAGACCTTCACCTTCCTGCCCTAAAGTATATAAAAGGGTGCTTATTTGCTGGTGGTCCAGTGATTTAAATATTCAAAAGTCTGTAAAATTAACATTCAGAACATATATAAATAACAACTTATAAAGAGACATTAAGAAGGAAGATAATAACTATTCAACAGAAATTGGTAATATCAACTTCAATAAACATTTTAAAACCCATCATCAATTTCCAACCACCATCACACCATTGTGAATAGACTAAATTCAAGTGACTTTTTCAAACTAAGAACTTATAGCCTAAATATTTTTGACTATCATTATTATATCATATTATTTAGCCTACAATAGTATAACTTAAATTAAGTTAATTAGCCTATCAGAATTTCATACCCGGCACGAACCAGTCCCTAGATTAAGATCATTGCTCTCCAAATTGTTACCTAGCCCATCTATAAAACCTAGACCAAAATCAAAATCCATGAGATTGTTGTAATATAAGTTATAGAACCTAAATATATCTTATTGTAACTTTATTGGAATTTTATTATCTATTTTAAGTAAATTTTATAAAATCCACAAGTAAAGAGGAGTAGGTTGCATCCCATAGTAGGTTTCTAATCCTTATGGATCAACTGAAGGCAATTTTATCGTTTGTTCCGTCTGGTGCACTGTAGGAGCCCTTTTTGTTTACAAATTTTTTATTGTTATTTCAATAATTTAAAATCTTGTTTGACCAAATAAAACAATCTTGTTATAAACAATAACTCGTCTCCTAGTTATGTAACCAAACAGTAAAGTAAAATCATGTAATTAACCCTAAAATAATAGAAACAAAATTTCGTCTACAATAGCGGTCAGTGTCACCGGACATGAACTGGACAGGAAAAGCGATCTTCAAAATTTACAATGGGATGAGAAGTCTACTTATGTTAGTTATTCTATGGTACTGACTATGTTTAAGGATGGTTGATCCTTAAAGGATTTTACAAGTATCTCCTTTGTATGAAGCAATCTATAAATATTAGTTTCGTAGTAGTTTTTATTGTCACCAAGTATAATGAATTGCAATGTTTAAATTTTAACTAATCACTAATTAAAACTGAAGGTAAGAAACAAAGTTATATCCAAATAAAAATTCCTTTAGTGTCTGGTAGCTTAAAGCAATTTTTGTTGCACGCTATAGAAAAAAAAATAAAATTTAGGCACAGTTTGAGATACAAATAGCTATAATCATAGTTTCACTGCTTCTTAAATTAACGTTTGCATAAAATAACTTAAAACGGTAAATTTGTTTATTTGTATTAGTTTTCATAATGTTTACTTTATATTTTTCTGATCTAATTTAGCATTTCTTAGCTTTGATTATGAATGAAACTAGACATTCCAATCCCAAAATAATATTCGAGCCAGTTCTTAAAAAAAAATATATTTATTTTGAACCACAGTTATTATTCAATAATTTAAATTGATATTCCCTACTATTTCTTTCCAATTCACCATATTTTTACCGAACCTAACCAAAAGTAAAACTTAAACACTATGTAAGACATCTTATATTTCGTATTAATTTCCACGAATTTTTGGCGATTAGCACTTTATGAGTGGGTCACTGATCTTTGTTTGTTTTTTAATGAAAGCGTTACAATTGCTGGTGTGTAAGGATGAAATGTATACTTTTTCTTGCCTGTGAAACTATGCATCATAGAGACAATAGCTAGTTGCATTACAAGTGTAGTAACAGCGTTTTTACATCACGCAGGTGAATGTTGTGCAACGAGCGGAAGCGAGTTGCATAATTTTCCTAAGTGATGTAAACACGGTCTTGCGTAACGTGTAACTACAAGATTTTACCTGAGCTGACAAAATACAGGAGGTTACGGACAATATTTTTCATTATCCATTTCACTCATCTTCTAACAGTAACGTTCATTTACAAACAAAAGCTAGGTTAGGAAAATTCTTCAAAGCATAAAAATAAAATTCAAGCGCACAGCTAATTTGTAGCGTTAAACGTCGTTGGCTCCATAGAGGTATATTTTTTAAGTTAAGCACTCAATGTTTTTTAAATGGGTTTCATTACCTCACCGAGTCAGTTTTTTCAACTTTACACCACTCGTGAAGTAATGAAGTTGTATACATCACGCTTGGGATAGGAAAGTTTAACATGGTGGGTTAGGTAAAATATTTATCTTTACTGTAAAATAAGCAATTTGATTTGTCGTTGGTATAAATATCTACAATCTCTATCCAACATGTGTTTAGTGTCTAATATATAATAAAAAATAATGTATCCGACTCACCTTGTAAGTGCCAAGGTTCTCCACAACGCACGGTAAAGAAGCATCTCTACCCAAAGCCACTGTCACATTCGGTATAGGTTCAACGAAACGTGGCTCATCCGTCAATGCTGAAACAAAATTTAACATTTAATAATTGTAAAATCTTATAAATATCTCGTTTCGGAATAATACCTATGATACGTTTCCAACTTTATATTTGTTGATAATGGCAGTTAGATTGAAATTGAAGCTGTTTAAAGGCTGTATTTATTTCAATCAGATAATTTGGATTAAAAACAAGGAAAAATAGATCACTTGAGTAACAAAAAAATCCCGATTCTAGTTATATTATTTTATAAGAAGAAAGTTGTGCTTAAACTGCAAAATTTAGTTTTAGAACAAAATAAGCTAATACGTGTTATTGCAGAACCTTCCGTATACCTTTTTATATCCATACTAATAAAACTAACTTTCAAAAAATCTATTGAAATTTGGTCCGTATTTAAATTATGTTTACTAAAAAGGGTTAAGCTTTGAACCTTATTTAAAAGAGATGACACAATTATGATACACTTTTCCTCGCAAAAACAAATAATAGAATACATTCTGAGTCCTCTACTGGGGTCCCTTATGAAATAGATATAAGTAAGCTATTTTGTAAAATCTTAACTTATACACTTTAAATATAGTACGCTTTGGCTCGTCGTGTGTTGGTCCTCTTGCTGTTTCCCATAAATCCACAACTATATAAATACTTAAAAGACCGAAGCAACCCTTGCTATCTACTTTTCCAAAGTTGTTCAGTCCTCACGTCAAGAAACTATTCTTAAAAACAATAATAGCCTTTCCTAAAATGAACAAAAGCTAAATTTTCTCCGACTCGCTACATACATAACACCAGATCTAGAGAACGCATAGGCATATCCGTTCCTAAATTAAACAATAAAATGCAGCTTCTTACCCCTCACTATCTGGCCCACATTATACGCACTAATCTCCATATACAGATAAGAGAATAGTAGGAAGACAGTGTCGCTGTTTTCAGCAGGAAGATCGTGCGTTGGCTTCTCTGACTGAGCGATGATGCTGCCGAAGAGCTCATCAGATCCCAGTGCAGGACGCACAATTTTTATTTCAGCTGCAGTTACTTTAATAAGAACAAAATGAGAGCATTCTATTGGCTGAGGGAACACCATTATCGCAATAAAACGGGTTGAAGCCATCGGCCTCGGTGGTCTAGTGGATAGCGTACCGAGCTTCGAAACTTATTGTACCAGGTTCGAAACCCATCGTAGGCACAAACTTTTTGTCTAAGATTTTTGCATTATCAGCAAGTTTGGTTAGTTTTGTTAGGTTATAACAGTTAAATTTTATAATTAAAACCTTATAAAATTGAATTTGAGCTATTTATAGTTTTATTTTATGAACAGAACTATTGTTTCGATTAGTAAACCTTCATTAAATTGTTTCATTATCAGCAAGTTTGGTTAGTTTGGTTAGGTTATGACAGTTTTATTTTATAATTAAAAAATATAAAATTTAATTTGAGGCATGTATAGTTTTATTTTACGAACAGAACTATTTCTTCTATTAGTACACCTTCGTTCAATTTTGTCATTATCAGCAAGTTTGGTTAGTTAGGTTAGGTTATGATAGTTTAATTAATAAATTAATTATATATTTTTTTTAGTTTTAGGCCTACAATAATTTTTTTTTAATTTCTAATTTTTAAACTCTCATTTTGTCCGTATTAAAAAACTGCAGCTGAAATAAAAATCGTGCGTACAGGACATAAGAAAGTCGATAACAATTTCAAAACTAAATTAGACTAATAAATTAAAAATTACTTCAGTTTTGGAGGGTTATTCAAGTATTTTTAGTTTTTAGTATTTCTTTTTTTCATTCTTTTCCCTAGGTTATTTAGATCTTTTTAATTCATTATATAGCAATTTTGTTCATGATCATTTTAGTCTTTATTTACCAACGTTAAGGCAAACAAAAATATTTTTTTATTTTTTATTTTTTGTTGTTGTGTTATTTTGTCCGTGTTGTGTTTTGTGTGTTGTGTGTTGTGTGTTGTGTGTTGTGTTGTGTGTTGTGTTTTGTCCGTTGTTGTTGCGTTTTGTTGTTGTTGTGAAGCGGTTAGCAACAAAGAAGACTCTCCCAAACGCAGATGAACAGTCTTTGTGGGTTTTTTTTCTTTGTACATTTATTATCAAACCATTATTGTAATCTCTGAATTGTAATTTTGAAAAAAAATTCTTTTATCATATATTAACCTGGAACTATTCGTTCTTGATTAATTTCAATAATACTTACATTGTCTCAATAGCTTACATTTATTGAACCTTGGTGTACCCTTGAGTTAACCACGAAATGAACCATAATATATACTCTTCGCCACAAAAAGCACAGCACTGCTCTAACCGTATTTCGTTTTTATCAGAGACGTTTAAAATTGAATTATGTAGTTAAAAGTGTCAGAGCTTTGTCCCAAATCGAAGCCTCATCTGAGCAAAGGTACATGTTGGAGCTAAAAGCTTCGCCTTAACTAAGTGCTGAAGCAATTATCTTTGAAAGCTAATCAAGTTACTTTAGCTACAGTTCACAGGAAGAACTAAGAGTAAAAGGTAAAAAATAGATGGCCTACTTTTGTAGTATTTTAAATTTAAATGTATACCACACGAGAGACTTTGAAATAACAGTTTAATTTTTTTTCTACTTATATATGGAAAAATACTTAAAATACAGTACTCACGAAAAAGCATTTCCAGTAATTACTACAAAACTGTATATGAATAATGAATTTTAAACAACTTCATATAATTGCATTAATATAGGTATCAATGTTTAAAATTATATTTTCCGTATTGTTATCAAAGTGTTGTGATTTTGTTACAGATTTGTTTACATATAGACCACTTTATAATGCATAAACAAAACAGAAAAACTTTGTTAAAGATTTACAATTAATTATTAACATTTCCTCATTGATGAATTGTTGTATAGTTTTGTTCGTTCATCACACAAATTGAAAATAAAACAAACTTTCTTTCCTAAGTAATGTGTTAAGTTATTAGATAAACAACTATTAATTGGACGGATTTTTTATTATGATCCCCATGGATTCTTAAGAAAGCAATACAAATGTTAAAAGTAATCTCTTGCCAACATTCAGGAAATAAAAATTTACATTGTTAAATTTGCGAATCAGAAAAAAAAACACTTGATTTAACTTTGACAATAATCATTTTTTTACTTGTTTTAACTTTTTAACCAAATAATCTGTCCAAACTAGGTTCCAGTACTTAATTGTTTAAACTATAATTACATACAAATAATATAGAAAAAGAAAAGAAAATGGATAGCTTTCTTACTGGGCATCTTGGATTATTAAATCTCCAAGATGTATAAGATAGCCTTATCTAGGAATGGATGTTAGTTGAGACATCATATCTAAAGCTTGAGATATTATTCTAAAGTAAGGTTTATTTGCAAAGTCTGTTCACACGGGATCTTCGTTGGGCGGGGAACACTTCAGCATTAAGTCACGAAGGGAACATTTGCTTTTAGGTGAGCTGTTAAGAAAAGTAAAAACTTTCCCAGTAGCTGACGGATTTCTTGATCAACTCATAAAAGATTTATATTAGTTGGATATATTCTTGAAATATTCACAAATCTATCTTCAATCAATAATAAATTAAGAATTTTGGGAAATTTATTTTCCCTAAACTCTAAATCTTGTTATACAAAATATTTTATAATGCATCATTTTCCTATCTCTGTTTCTCAGATACGTATGGGCATCAAAAAAGAAAATTTATGACATAGAATGTTATTAGTAATTTATTCTATAGAAAAACAACATTTACTATCTCAATCATTGATTCAATTAATTGTCAACTAACATATTCAGAATAATCGATGAGTAAATTGTTTGCAGCTTGTAAAGTAATGTAAAGTATATTCTTGGTGAAATTAAGGATTTATCATTTATAAAAACATACAATTCCTTAATAGAATGGGCCAGCTTCATTTAAAACCTGGTGTGATAGTTAGCTTTACTCGTTGGGCACGTTGGAGAAATATTATTCAAAAACACATTTTGCTTTCGTCATCACACATTTTGAGGTTACTGCAATGACAAGGGAATCTAAGTAGTAATAAAGTTAATGAATATTCAGTTAATCTTACCTTACAAAAATGACCAAATGTTTTTACTCTATTTAATGTGCCATGTTTAAATCAATGTTTTTAAGGCATTGGAGACCGTTTGAACATTCTGTGACCATTGGAGATAATACAGTAATCAAATCAAATATTTTACTAAATGTAATTGGAAAATGAGATGAGCATGTTCAAATAATCCAGTGAATGGGAACGTCTCCTTTAATGTTTGAAACTGAAGATGGAATAGGACATTACTAGATTAAATGTTTGGGCCAAGCTGTCAAATTAGATTGTGGCTTTCCTTTAGCCACAAAATGTTAGCAGCGATTTCCTAGGAGATATATAATTTATTTAACGTTATGGATAGATTTTTCAATAGTTTACTTTACTACATGCACGAAACAGTATACAATTATCAAAACTTTTATTCATGTAAGGAAATAGTTTCGTTATTATTAAGTTTTTTTTATCATTAATACTCAAATTCAAATAACCATACGGACAAAATTACAAAGATCGTTGAATTTTAATTGAGGATGAGATTATACAATTATATAAGATTATACAGGGTGGCCCGAAAAAAGTACTCAGCATTTCACGGAAATTAATCCTTATATATAATACGTGAAGGCGACTTCTAAGAAATACTACTCCTCCGTTAATAATGGACGGATGTTTACAAGTGATGCTCCAAAATTATGTATTTTTGGTGTAGACGCCCTTTCACCAAACCCTTTAAAGAAGTACTCGGGCTTTGCCCCACATGCCATCAAAATCCCAATAAAGATATTGTTTTCTTAAAACACAAAAATTATTTTTATTAATTAATTACATACTAACAAAGCTGTTCATAGTAAAACATGATACACACAAGAGTTCGTTTTCAGAGTGAGTTTGTTTTCAGTTCGATAACTGGAGTGGAGTGATTGATTACATTTACCTTTTAATTGACTCTTTT